AGTAGCTTCGAGGGAACTCGAATTGGTGACCATCGGGAAACAAACCCAAAGCCGAACCACTGGACTACCCTTAGGGTTTACATAATGGTAACTCATATTTGTTGATAACAAAACACATTAAGCCCCCGTTTGATCTCCATTAAATTATATTTCATTACATTTCATTTTCCTCTCTCCTATTTTCAACCACACAATCTTTCATAAAATAATATTACACAAATCGAAAATTTTTACTTTTTTTTCAACCATTCATTTTTTAAAAAAAAAACGCTACACCACCCATTCATTTCCAAAAAATGGTGGCCAAACAGGGGCTAAATAGGGGTATAATAGAAAAATTAAGCCATTATTTATACTGGTTAATAGCAAAGTGGCTTATAATTTGGGATTAACAAAAAAGGAAATTAAGCCGATATTTGTGGGATGGAGGTAATATCACATAGTACCACCAAAAAGAAAACTAATGCAATTCCATGACAAAACATGGGCAAAGCAAGTGAACTATCTCGGGTGGCAATCTGCTACAGAACAAGTTGAACCTGACCGAGTTACCACATTCATAATGATACATTCAAATATGAAATCACCCGATTCTGCATTCCTCCTCCAGTTTGGAAATTCAAAGCCTTTCAAAAAGCCATGACAATTTATGAACACAACACCAGGGATTTCGGTTCACAATTAAAGAATATAAACAACAAAGTTAAAAAAAAATTGCAACAGAACGTGAGTGGAAACTTCTGCATAATAGACCTGACAAAGAACGTCCATGGTGCTCTGACCAGCACTTTCTGCTAATAACTTAACTCGGTACTTCTGAACCCCACCCTTCGTATCCTGCTGTGAATCCGCCTTCGGAACTGCCTTCACAACCTTCGACGCTGTATTTGTTGACCGCTCCTTTCCCGAAAGAGAAGAATGCCCAATTGGTCTCCCAAAATCATCAAAACCTGACCAAGTCGACGACTTCGGAGCTGTTCCCCGAGCCCCATACGGCTCCGAGCTACTCCCTTTGTAAGCATAAACCCCTTCATTGTTCCCAAAACCCCCATCATTCTTCCCATAGCCACCGTAGCCTCCCTCAGATCGTTTCAAATCAGAACCAAATTCAGATCCGCCTCGACTGTAATTTCCATCTAAATAACCACCCGGGTGATCGTATTTCACACAATGGTCATAAAGGCTGTCGTATGCTGGCGGATTAGATTGATTAAACTGAGAGGTATTCAGAGAAGGGTATTGTGAATTGGGTCCAACAGGTTTACGGCTTGGAGAATAATTGATAGCGGGCTGATCATAAGATGAGCAATACGACTGCTGTTGCGGTAGCTGTGGTGGCGGGGTTGAGTATTGCCCATGGACTTCTAACTTGGGAAAAGAATAAGAAGGTTGAGGTTGTTGAAACGACGGCACCGTGGTGAGAGGATCGATATTTTGTGGAAAGTGAGGATAAGATGAAGAATTATGCTGGTAAGAGGTGGTAAAGTGATCGGCGGAGGAAAGAGGAGGAGGGGTGTAATTGCTTGGGGCGACGGGTGGTGCGGAAGCATAAGACGGCGGCGGTGGTGGGTAACGAGTTAGATCGTCGATCGGGTTCGGGTTATGGGTTTGCAGGTGTTGCTGGTAGTACGGGATGGAGGCGTAATCGCCGTGTTGCATTGTTCTCCACGAAAAGTCGGAGGATGAGAAATCTTCCGATTATGTTCTCTGGAGCAAACAAATACAGTACTGGACAGGTAGGAAGAATCCGGATGAGTTACATAAAAACGTTAAGAAGCAAACACGCTTTTTTATGGTGATACGTTGACTTGGACTGGAGAAATATAACCTATCCGGGATGGAGATAATCTTTCTTTCTTGATTCTTTTTTTGTTCTTTTGGATACATTATATTAGAATAATATTATTTAGAGTCACTCATTATCGCAATAATTCTACATGACACAATTATGGCAGTGGACGACTACAAATAGCAATACACATTAATGTTAATTTATGTCGAGTGCTTGTTTGTTAGAGATTTTGATAATTGATTTTTTTATCGTTAAAGATAAAGTGAGTCATACCTGTGAGAAAAAAATTCAAAAATGAAGGCTGAAATAATGAAATAACGGTCAAAAAATTAATTTTAATTGACTTTTAAATCATGCCAAACAAGCTCCAAATATAATCATCCTGGCAATGAAGCTCAAGGATTCCCCAATCAAAGTATCCAACGAGGCCACAAATACACAGTTTCATCTAACACTAAGGAGGTATTTGGGAGACATTTTTATGTAAAAATGTATTTTTAAATAGTAAATTGATGGAAAATGTGCGGTTGAAAAATAAAGAAAAGTTTTTTATTTACATGTAATATTATTTTAATAAAGAATGTGTGGTTGAAAAGAAGAGAGAGAAAAATACATTTTGAAAAAAATGGGTACCAAACAAGGCCTAAATAAACTTTCATTCTAACAATGAAAATAGTCATAACGAATTTGAAATGTTTGTATAACTAATAAGCATACTCTCGAGCATGGAAATGATGGATATTTAACTACCCCAACTGTTTTGCACAATCTGATTCAAGAATATAATTGTTCAACTCATGTACTTTATAAAATGCAAACTCTCTAAGATCACAAAAACATTAAGCCAAATATAAGGAGATGCATCCTTGGAATTTCTAAAAAAGCCCAAGTACATTGTCATCACAGTTATACCAATATCTTCGCTCTTCTTCTTTAATGTTGCATCGACATTCAATTTTAGGTGTCTCATTGAAGGTCTCGTTCATCTTCTAGTAACTAGACTTGAGTTCAATTTATTTAATTTATCCAACACTCAAGCATCCTTTTATGGATGGAAATAAGCACGTGAATCGTTCATTACTTATTTACTTGGGATGGTTAGTATTACTTATCATTACAAGCAATAACTACAAATCTTCTAATTTCACTCCTTTGCTAGCTTCCTAACACCCATCACATTATCAAATACGTTATGACATGATATTGATCAAGGAAAAATAGCATCAAGACTGATCTCTTCATCCTCTCCACATCGGATTCAAATGGTGTTAATGGCAAGATGACCAAGTTGAACACAAACACGAGATGGGAGAATATCTTCAAATGCACAACATATCAAATATTCACCTTCAAAGGAATGTTGCTTTGCCATAGTAGTTTCCACCAATTAGATATGCTGGAAACAAATATGCAATAAGCATGTTTCGAATTTTAAACCTCTTGCTTGCTTGGATTTCATTGTGGTCTCCTTCTAGTTTAGAATTCAGATATTAACTTCCGTTTGAGAAGAATTTACAAATAGATAAAAATTAGTTTTGGATAAGTCGATGGTAATTGGGATCTATTGGAATGGGCTTCTAAACTAAAATTTGACCATTTATAAATGTTAATGAATTTTACCAAGTGAATGTATAACTTAACCTCATATTCATATCCACAACATATTTTTATCTATACATTTTGTAAGTCTCATTATTTTCCTTTTTTTTTTAATCCATTATAATAATATTCAAACAAAGGTATTGAGAATCACTTCTCATCTACACTCATTTTCGACCTCAAATATTTTCTTATTTTTTCATAACCTTTTCTATTTTTTTAACTACACTCCATCAAAAAGTACTTTTCAAAGAATCATTTCTTAAAAAACCTCTATCAAACAATCTATGAGAAAATATTTGATTGAGGCCAGGACATCTTATTTTAGACAATTTAGCCCTTGTTTGGCTCCATTTGAATTTTAATGCATTTTTTTCCTCTTTTCAACTACAAATTTTTCAATAAAATAATATTACAATTAAATCCAAAAAAATTTCTTTTTTTTTTAATCACTATTTGAAAATACATTTTTTCTAAAATATCATAGAATGGAAAGCAAGAGCTTACATTGATCTCGTCTCCGTGCTCTAGTCTCAATATGTCTCTCGTATCAATATTGACTAATCCCCTACTTTTGTCAATGTCAGTCACAGCGCAGCCTGATCAATTTGCTCTTAAGACAAACAAAAGCCTAAAGCCAAAGTTCCAAAAGCTTGCACACTCCACAAAAAGGAAAAGAATTGACCGTTCGATTAAAGCCAAATGACCACATTTGTTGACACAAAGGTTGACACACCTCTCACAGTCGAGGTGTGGGTCCCGCGCCAATAAAATAATGCCGATCTCCCCACGTGAGAGTGTTGTGTCAACCGATGTGTCAACAAATGTGGCTATGTAGCATGACACAAGGAAACTACGGTCCAAAAAATAGGAGGAAAGAGTAACGGGCCACAACAAGTAAAAACAAAGAAGAAAATAACTGATGCCCTTAATTGACGAGAATAATTTTGTGGCGTTTTACAGTGAATCGCCCAGGTAATGGACAGCAGAGGTTGCAGATTCAAGTATTATTTATCTTTCAGCAGTGGAGGCTGAAGCAGCAGCAAGCAGCATAGCTAGAGCCTGTAGGAGTTGGCAGTTCCATTATCATAGTTGTGCCTTTAAACCTCAAGGATCAAACTAGAGGCCTAAATATTTCATTTTCGGATGTGTCGAACTAGATTCAAAATTATCCAAACTCAACTCTGCATGCTTGTGTACATAGGCCTGTAACACATGGAATAATATCTATGTGAGTCGCAAGCTTACACAACCAAGACTCAAAAGGGGCCTTGAGTCTCACAACAGTCTATTTTTCGAGCTTTGGAGCTAATGTGTTCGATCATTCAAGTTCGACTTACCCATCGGGCTTTAGGGTATAGGGTACAGCACAATTTCCACACTTTAGTAGAGCTGGCATTTCTTCAATGAACCTTTGATAGAATAAATTAATGGCAGGCAATCTATATCAGGAAAATAACTAATGAACCATTTACAGGGGAAAAGCAAGATTCTTTCTTTACTATTCATTTCCTACTGTCATCAGTCGTGATGCCATTGATTTGGGTCAATGTTTTAGCAAGTACAAAATATTTATGATAACAAAGACCCAAAAAAGAACCAGACCAAATGGCTAAAACAAGAGAGATTAACCAGTCAAATCACCAAAACAATCCATCAAAAGGTGTATTCTCCAAGAAACTGAAACATCGCCTTTTGTTTCCAAGAATTTCTCACAAAAAGGTAACTTCTAGGCTTGCTTTTTTTACAGACTCACAGACTGGACACAAACCTAAAACCATTTCACAAGATTTGCAGCTGCAGAGGTGCCTGCAAGGAAAGAAAACTACACAGGAGTTTCTAACTTGGCACAATTTACAAGCCATCTTTTTCTTCTGTTCTTCATATTCTTTTTCTTCTTGGGTATTGTTTTTTATGCTTGAAGAACCACAAAGTGAAACTGCATCTTGGGCTCCATTATTGAACATCAAAAAGTCTTCTTCGATGACTTGATTCAGCTTGTTGTTGAGGTTAAACACAGTGGCTTCATTTTCTATGGCCTTTTCCTTCCAGATTTTGGCCTCCATTTCTGCTCTTTGAAAGAAATCTTGGAGTTCCATTGTCTTGTTTTTTGCCATAGCCAATTCCTCGTATTTTTGGAGCATCAGAGTCTTAGTTCTTGATTCATATTTGTGGAGTAGAACTGCTTGTTGCCTTGTTTCTTCTTGCAGAAATGACGACCTCAATCTCTGATTCTGTACAGAGTGTTTAAAAAAATATTAAACAAGATATTAACTTTTTCTTTTTTCTTTTTTTCTTTTTTCGCACAATTGAAACAAAGAATGGATAAATAATCAAAATCAAGAAAATCGCAGAACATACAATTGAATAACAGACTTTCATTTCCACGCACCCCATTTTTCTTGATCATAATATGAATGCATATATCATTAATAATGTGCAGTCACAGAGGCAACCAGGAACACAATAAAGCTTCAATATACTGTTGTACATAAACATGCATACACATATTCAAAGATTTTACTAAAAACTTAATTTTCTTTATTGCAGAAGTTGATTTTTACCTCTAACTGAAGCAACAAATCCATTTCCAGACGTTGATTCTGAATATCAGATGATAAAGATTGCAGAAACTCCGTAGGAAGAGAAGGAGATGGAGAAGTTTGATTATCCCAACAACCAAAAACTTGATGAATCTTCTTCGTCTGTTCTTGGAAATATAAACCATTATCACTCCCTATAACCCAATCCTGTGAACCACACATGTCAAATGGGTTAAAATCCATATTCTGAAACCCAAAATTTTGTGCTTGAACTGCCATTTTAACCACTCCAAGGTTCAAAACCCAGAAAATCAAGAATCAAACACACATCCCTACCCTTGCTTTCTTCGGTGATACAAATGATACTGATACTAGTACAGCAAAAAAAGGAAGATGGGGTAGGTTAACGTCTACAAGCTCGTGTTCGTGTTACACCAGAAGAATCACGTGACCTCTCTTTTTCTTTCTCTCACTGAACACCTTCTTGAATGGGCATAACCTTTCGCATCTTTGTTGCTTTAGGTTGTGGTTCAAGTAAAAATGCGTTATATTAAAGGAACCAGTGTTTTTTTTTTTTTTTATTGATAAATGTAAAATTTCATTGAACCAGTGTTGTGTTGGGAGGCGAGTGACTTTATTTATATATAAATACGGCAATTAATTACCATGGTGTGAAAAATGGTAACTGTGAATGATAAAAAAGAAATGATTTTTTTGTTGGATCTCTGACTACTTTTTTCATGGCCCAAGAAGTTAAAAGAAAGCAATTTTGTGGAGGAGAGAAGTGGAAGCACACAATTGTGGGCAGTAGCCACTGCAGATTTTTCGCATCAATGGGCGTTGAAGATGTAACAAAATTAATTGGGGTAAGTTAGTTTACTGAGAAACAGGAGGATAAGTAAGATTTAAAAAAGTATGTCCCATTGTGAATATTTTAGCTTCTCTTCTCATACTCTACAACTAGGTATGAACTATATTATTGAATGGTACACTAACAGTGTTACCATATATAGGTATTGTCTAACATTGCACTGGTTATTTTTGACTCTGCCGACCTCAGAACAGGGAGTAGACTGCTTGGGACACGGAACCTCGCTGGGGGGATGCTCTTGAAATTTATTTATTTTTCAGATTTGGTACCTTGTTAAAATTTGTAATTTTAATTTAACAAAAGCAGATAACACTTGTATATTGTAATTATTATAAATTTTCATCAACATATTATTATTATTTTCGTGCTTTTGTACCAACCTTGTGTACTTGCACAAAAGTTTTTTGATACTACATTTCGTGATAGGGCATATTAATTAATTACCAAAAATTCCTAGATGCTATTGATCCCGTGAAGGTTGATTAACTACCAAGAATGTCTCTATTATTATTGATTGATGGATCAGATAAGAACTTAACACTGCACATTTTAGGTGCAATGTGATTGGTACAAATTAAAAGCCGTTTTTGACTTGAGTTTACAAGCATGGGTACTTGCCTATAAAGTTGTATATGATGTATAATTACTCGTACAGATAGAGTTTAACCACACCAATTATACTTACTAACGTGTTGTACATGAGAAGTGTATTTTTTACACTTATTTGGGTCTTAAATAATGACATTCTATAGTTTTTTTAATGAAATATTACCTAACTTGTTATATATCTCGTTAATGGGTAAAATTCATGATTTGATGAAGAATTGAAGAAAACGAGCTAAAATAAAGAAGAATGGCGAAATTAAAACTATGAGGAGTAAATTACAACATTTTCAATAGTTGCATCAGGACATAAAATGAAGAGTGGAGATGCTTTAAGCTCAATGGCAGGCAATTGGAAGTTAAACAGACAAAATCACGAGTGAAAATGATAAAAAATGCATTGCGAAAAGCTCAGGAAACGATTTGTATAATTAGAGTCAAAATGTGAAGCTACGCATAGCTTGCAAGCCATTCTTACGCGAGATCCCATTGTACACTGATTGAAGTTAAAATTATTCTATCATGCGTACGCGTGACTTTTCAGATGGAAAATATTTTCATTATTTTTCTTGTTTCGATTCTTTATGGTATGACATTTTTGCACATTTTTAACCTACAAAAAGCCTTCTGGAACGTACTTGAAAGCTATTATCACATATTATATCATTGATGCGACTCCCAACATGAGTTTTGTTGAGAATTAACACGAGAAATTAAAGATTTAATGCGCAAAAAAAAAAAAAAGATTTCTCAAGCTTCTACATCTATTTTTTTGAATTGGGTGACGTCATTTTCTTAACTTCTTGTGTAATTTAGATACAATTATGTTAGGCTAAAATTCTTTTGCGTATTGGATGGATAACAAAACATTTTAAATTATATTTCTAATTTAAGACTTACCGTATTTTAATTATTTTCTTGTGTCAGTGATTAAGTATACTTGAATATTGTGTAATTTGTTGCTTAGATACCAATTAGATAACTTGTTACTTATTTGTAATATTGGAAGACTCACAATAAGTAGAATATTGTATATTTGACAAGCAAGCACTAGGCACTAGGAATAATATTTATGGTGTATGCAATCATGTGTGATAATTGTGTGATTGAATGCTTGCTTTGCATGTGAATTCAAACTAGGAATATGGTCGGATGGTGCTAAGGTTAGTTTTCAACTTATCTTGAAAAAAGATATTAGATATTAGTGGATTATCAGTGGTAATGAACGCTTGAACTAACTTATATAAGTCGAGAATTGGAAATGTAAACCAATATATGGATTCTGAAATCCAGTACAATCATCTTTGATAAGAACAATCTTTTACAATATTCTTGGTTTAGTTTAGAATTATTGCAAAACAAACAACTATTTTGTGTTACGTAGATCAAATTTGATTAAAACTGGTACTCTAAAATTAACAGTTATACATCGTGACGACGATAACTCAAATTATCACATTATTACTTGTCGATGATCCCATACGATTGCCAGATTTGTTTGAATGGTACATACAACATCGATGTTGAGTTATGTTTACCGCATCATTAAAATACCAAAATTGGGCGTTATGAAATATTTCAACACAAATATCGACACCTTGGTGCAAGATGTCAACACATTTATGCTAGTTATTTTTTTTAACTCGTTTGACACTATAATTTTCGCATTTCATGCATGCCTCATATTGCACTCAACGTTTATACAATCTTTTTTAGCTTGCTTATAAGTATTTAAAATCAATATTCACCCACTATGGAATTCTCCCTCTTCAAACACGCTTAACTTTTAATTTGGTGTGTGTACTAAAATGGTGTCGCTTAAGCTCGTCTTCGTGCCCTAAATGATTCTTTTGACTCGTATAATACTTTTAGTATTTTTATTTATGACTTTATTACCCCCAGCGACTTCTGAAAACCAAAACTTCTAAATTCTACAATTTCATAAGTTCCTAACTTGCCTGAAAGGCTCGTGGACCCCAAATATTTATACTGATATAAGATATTTCACTTTTAGCAATTTTGATAAATTCTATTCAATTTTATCACTAGTTTATTTACTTTAAGTAGCCTTTTTAATTCGTTCTTTATAATTTTGGCACTTCACTAAAAACAATAGTCAAAATAATAAATTTCGTTGTTTGATCTTTTCAAAAATTTTAAGTAATTAATTTGATGAGAGACATGTGTACATGCATTTCTTCTCGATCCATTTTATATATTTTACATCCGTTGATCTCCACCAATTGCATTCACCATTTTCGCATCAAATTGAATATATCAACTTCAAGAAAGATGTTGACAAATGTTGGTAGTTGGGTTTGTGTTGGAGGTGGATGGAATTTGGCAAGGTCTCAAAAAATTGGTAGCGAATAAGGATATGACAATTGGATAAATCATTTTTTTCATGTTTAATTATTAATATGTTATGATCAGTCAATGAGACTAATGCCTTACTGTTCACGAAATTATTTCTTTCAATTTAAAACTATCGCAAGTGTACGGTTCGTTAATAAGTAATAAAATGGATTAAATGAGTCCGAATATCGTCCCACAGAGATTGATTAGTTCAGTTTTACCTATCGTCGCCTTAACCGACACTAAATTACTAAAGTGAATATGAACCTCCCTAATTTTGGAAAGAAAATCCTAATTATGCAATTTTTATGATTGAATTAAACTAAATATGCAAAACAATATTTTTAACACTCTAAAATGAAATCAAATGTTGAGAACACACCTTTGTTGTAATCAATAGAAATTAAACACTCTAGGATCACGATTTCTCATGCAATTATCACTTTAAAACCCTAGTTTCACAATGTGACAACACACTTCAATTGTGACGAATCAATGTTCCTAAGTATATCCAATACTCTCTCTCAAGATGTATCGAACCTATTTCTACATACCACCTACCCATATTTCTATGACAAGTACATATATAAAAATTTATGCGATTTTATGAACACTTAAAGATTCACGTAGGGCATAGCGGTATATTTCTATCCCCTATCGGGCCCTACGATGATTTATATTATGTCGAACTTATTCCAATTCTCTCAAATGCAAGAATAAATCACCCAAACTCATACAATTACGGGCCCTTAATTGCGGAAACAATAATTGCATATAAATCATTCAAAATAATAGAAATATGTCTTAATGTTAAATTACAAAACTAGAAAATTAAAAATCAAATTACATGGTACATCGATCTCCTAGCACATGAAAATCTAGCCAAACATGGTTAAAATAAAAGAATACATCAGATTTTGGATAAAATGTATCACCAGGTTATGAAATCTTGAGAAATATTGAAACTCTTCGTTTAAATCTTCGTTCTTGCGCTCAAAATCCTTTCCAAGAAGTGTTTTTCTGCCTCCAATACGTTCTGATTCTTTCTGGACGTCTTTTGGTATTTATATCGCGTAAAAATTAGATTACCAAAAGAGTTTCAATAGTATAAGAAAACTGCGAATCGGCCCCAGAACTTGTTCTATGCGACCGCATAGTACATTTCTATGCAGTCGCATAGAGTAAGAAAAAATTCTCGGAAGGCCTCTATGTGACCACATAGACGGTAGCACTATGCGTCGCATAGTGCTGCCAACTATGCGAAATGTCTATTTTGGTCCTTAAACTTTCATTTTTCTTCATTTTAGTCCCTTCGAAATTCCTTCTTCTTCCAATCATCTTGTATCGCTTTCGAGTTCATACTTAGCATATTTTCATTCCCAGGTTGCCTTTTAGTTCAACTTTTGAATATTTGCATCATTAGTCCCTGAACTATCACTTTGCTCCATTTTAGTCTTTTCGGCTCTTTTCTCCTGAATTTCACCATTTCCATATAAACACATACATTGCATGAATTCAACGAGATTAAATCACAATTCAAATATTTTGCTCGTAATTAAGTCATGTTTGTGATCTAAATAAGTGTGCAAAAACACACTTATCAAACCCCCCAAACTTGAACTATTGTTTGTCCTCAAACAAGATAGTGATTTAATTCTGAACAAACATGGCTTAATACCCTACCGTGGCTCAAGATTGGGCTAAGTATTTGACGTTATGAAAATTTATCAGTGCAAAAATGACATCAACCTT